GCTGGAAAAATATCAAAACAAGTCCATAAGAGCTAAAATAATATTTTGAACATGTTGCTGTTGTTAACTGCTATCGAGTCAGTTCTGACTCATAGTGACCCTGTATAGGGTTTGCAAGGAGCAGCTGGTGAGTTTGAACAGCTGACTTTGTGGTTTAGCGCACTAAGCCACAGCACCACACCAAGATTCCATCTTGAACATATCCCATTTGCATTTAGAGATCACCTAGAAAAACAAAAGGAAAGAACACACTCAGCATTTTTCAAGCTTAAAGAACTGAGGAAAAATACAAGCTTTGACTTGCAATACTTAAGGGTTTTGGGCAAAATATTGAATGATATAGAAAGCATCAAATGATGAAAAGAATACAGTCACTGTACTAAAAATAAAAGGCCGATGTTCAACCATTTCAAGAGGTAGCACATGATCAAGAGCCAATGGTACTGAAAGAAGTCCAAGGTACATTCAAGGCATTCGCAAAGAACAAGACTCTGGGAATTGACGGAATACACATTTAAATCTTCCAACAATCTGATGAAGCACTGGAGACACTCGCTGATCTAAGCCAAGAAATTTGGAAGACAGTAACCTCGCCAACTGATTGGAAGAGATCCATTTTTGTGGCCACTCCCGAGAGGTGACTGAACAGAAAGTGGACTTATTGGACAATATTATTGCTGGATTCAGATGAAGATGTGTAACAAGGCATATATCATTGTTGACGTACAAAGTATCTTAGCTGAAAGTATACAATACCAGAAAGATGTTACCTCTCTGTGCTTTGTTGACTCTGCAAAAGGCTTTTGACTTTGTGGATCATGGTAAATTATGGACAACATTGTGGAGAATGGTATTCTGGAACACTGAATCATGCTCATGAGGAACTTGTACACAAACCAAGAGTCAATCATTGAAACAGAACAAGGGGACACTGAATGGTTTAAAGTTAGGTAAGATATGCGCCAGGGGTGTATTCTTTCACCATATTTGTTCAACATGTATGCTGAAGAAATAATCCGAGAAGCTAGATTATATGAAGAAAAACATGGCATCAGGATTGGAGGAAGACTCATTAACAACCTGTAATATGCAGGTGATACAACCTTGCTTGCTGAAAGCACAGGATTGAAAATACTTACTGATGAAGATCAAAGGCCTTTGGTATGGGTTGTACCTCAATGTAAAGAAAACAAAAATCCTCACATCTGGGCCAATAAATAACATCATAATAAATACAGTAAAGATTGAAGTTGTCAAAAACTTGGATCCACCATCACTCATGGACAGCAGACAAGAAATCAGATGACATGTTGCATTAGGCAAATTTGCAGCAGACCTCTTTAAATTGTTAAAGAGCAAAGGACTAAGATGCACCTGATCCAAGCCATGTTATTTTCAATTGCCTCATTGGTTAGTTGGTTCCAACTCATAGCGGCCCTGTACAGGGTTTCCAAGGCTGTAAATCTTTATAGGAGCAGGAAGCCTCATCTTTCTCCTGTGGAACAGCTGTAGTTTTGAACTGCTGACCTTGCGGTTCACAGCCCAATTCATAACCACTACGCTACCAGAGCTCCTTCAATTGCCTCATATGCATGTGAAAACTGGACAATGAGGAAGACTACAAGAATCAAAGCATTTGAATTTTGGTGTTGGAAAATATTGTTAAGTACCATGGACTACCAGAAGAACAAACAGATCTGTGCTGGAAGTACAGCTTGAGTGCTCCTTAGAAGCAAGGATGGTGACACTTCACCTCTCATACTTTTGGCATGTTATCAGGAGGACCAGTCCCTTGCAGGACACTGTTGTTAGATGCCATCGAGTCGGTACTGACTCATAGAGACCCTATGCACAATAGAACTAAACACTGCCTGATCCTGGGCCAACCTTACTATTGTTGCCACGCTTGAGCCCACTGATGCTGCCACTTTGCCAATCCATCTCGCTGGGGGGTCTTCCTCTTTTTCTGACCCTCCACCTTACCAAACATGATATCCTTCTCCAGCAAATGGTCCCTCCTGACAATATGTCCAAAGTATGAGAGACAGTTTGGCCATTCTAGCCTCCAAGGAGCACTCTGGTTGCACTTCTTTCGACACAGATGTTGGTTCTTTTGTTGGCAGCCCATGGCACTTTCAATATTCTCCTCCAACACCATAACTCAAAAGCATCAATTCTTTTACGGTCTTCCTTATTCACTGTCCAGCTTTCGCATGCATATGAAGTTATTGAAAATACCATGGCTTGGGTCAGGCACACCTTAGTCCTCAAGCTGACATCTTTGCTCTTCAACACACCAAAGGTCTTGTGCAGCAGATGTGCCTAATGCAATGTCTTTTTATTTCTTGACTGCTGCTTCCATGAGTGTTGAAGAATGAAGTCCTTGACAACTTCAATCTTTTCTCCATTGATAAGAATGCTTGGTAAAATGGAGGGTCAGTGAAATAGAGGAAGACCTACCAAGATGGATTGACTCTGTGGCAGTACCAATGGGCTTAAACATTAACAATCATAAAGTCTACGCATCATTGGATAGTATTTCATTCCGTTGTAAGGACCAACTTTCTAACACCTTAGAAGCAAGCAAACCCATTGCCATTCTGACTTATAGTGACCCCATGACAGAGACCCACCGCACCACTGGGTTCCTTAAAAGGAACATTTAGAGCATGTACAATTCTCACAAATTATAACATTCCTCTGTAGATTATATGACTTATAGGTTTCTCCATCATGTTTCGTGCCTACACAAAAAGAAAACGAGCCATCTGTGTAAGAGAAATGTCTGTATTTATTATATATCAGCATATTTTGCCACTTTTTTTCCCCATTATTAGGTTCATAATTTAAATGATCTGTCCTGAAGTTAAGCACTGAACTGCTAGCCGCAAGGCCAGTGGTTCAAACCAACTACTCCTTGGAAACCCTATACAGGGTCACTAAGAGTTGGAACACAGTAATACTACAAATAGCTGGCTCAGACATAATATATTCAAATAAATGATATTCAATCTGGGAAACTAACCCCTAGGAAACTTTTTAAGCTGTCTCCTTAATTCTCACAGTATTAATCCTGACTAAAATTTTTTTTGGTTTACTGACAACCAGGTATTCCACATTCTGGTATGGAATCAGCTACCTTACAGTGAGTACAAGATTACTCTTAGTGGAGACTGTTAAATGGCATAAAGTTGGTTTCGACTCATAGCAACACCATATAGGGTTTCTGAAGAGCAATGGGTGAGTTTGAACTGCTGATCTTGCGGTTCAAATTGACCTTGAAGTCGAGTGTTTATCCTATGGCACCAGATTAGTATGAAATAAGGACAAGACAATGATCTTTAGATCATAGCTCTTGGTGATTTTTCCAATTTGCTATCTGGGGTAGTTTTCTTTAGTATGGGAGTTTAGCAAACAGTATTTTCCTCTACTTCTTTGCACTTTCTACAAATGTCAGACTAAATTCTCCAGAACCACTGAATCATTACAGCACAAGGACATGTGTAAAATGGTGCACCTGGACCCAGTATCCGATGGAGGCTGCTGAGACCCATCAATGTGAGGAATGTCAACGATGGCTGCTGGCCAGGCTTCAGGAAACTACTTGCACTAAATACTCCTTTTTCTTTTGACCTTGTCTTTACTGCCCTTAAGTTCTGCCAGTAAATCCTCTACTATGATGTTTTAAATGTAAACTCTGGGTCCTTTCCTAAAGAGAAATTGAACAAGTCTTTTAGATATTTTTTTAGTAAAGTACGCCCAATTGGGTGGGCAGGATTCTAACCCACACAACCTAAAGGTTACACAGATCAAGGCCATTCCTTCATCAGTTGGTTGCAGAAAGAGATGTGGTGCTAAGTTTGGTGTCATATGGTTAGTACCATGCACATATGACTCATGTGACAATCCAGACCTCCAAGTTCCACAAGTTCATGTTTAGATGAGCGATGACTGGGCCTTTTACTAGTTAGGGTAGACTGTCCTCTGTTTACACACATTTTCCCCAAACAATACCTTGTATAATTCAATAATCCATTATCACCCTTTCAGATTTTAAGCTCAAGATGTCTGTTGAATAAACCATAGTAGCTGTTAACTGTAAAGCTAGCCTTTGAGTGCCTACTCTGTATCAAACATTGAGCTTTGCAAATGACATGTATTAAACTATTTCTCAAAAAAAACACCTACACACACAAAAAAACAAAAACTGTATGATAGGGACTTGCCTACTCTAGATGATGAAATGAGAGACAGAGAACATGCCTAAAATTCTATATTTGAATCTAAAGTTAACAAACTTTTCACTCACTCTTCCATTTAAGAGTATGTGTTACGTGTTGCTGAGTTGGTTCTGACTCATAGCAACCCTGTATAGGGTTTCCAAGGAGTGGCTGGTGAGTTCAAACTGACCTTGAGGTACAGTGCTTTACACCACCTTATGTTACAAACTAAAATCTGGATATTACAGAAACTGTCAATAATTAGAGGGAAAAGGCCACTGCCTCAGAAATGGGAACAACTTAGAAATTTTATAGTAGTAAATTATGATCAGGATGGCCTGAGAGATCCCAATTAAAATCAGTACAGATATATATGACAAAGAGATATGAACTTGATGGTTAATTCTTCTAAGATGACGGATTGTAAAAAAATGAAAATGATACGGCTTGGTTGAGAATTCCTTTCACAGGAATTCTGAACGACTAGTTTAATTATGAATAAGAAGGGTCTAATAGGTAAGGCCTGAAAGATCATAGGAGTAGGTGAACGTGTCTTAAATATGACCACTAAGTGGTATTGGGTATGAAGTTGACAGTTTTTTAAAACATTTCTATTTATGCTGTGCCAGTCTTCTCTCTGTTCATAAAAAAATGGCCAAAGAGGTAAGAGTGAAATCCTCTTTTCTTCTGGGTTGAGCCCATGATAAAAATCCACCAGGCAAATAGCCACAATTCTTTCCGAAGGGGCCCCATTTCTGAATTAGGAGTCATCTTCTTTCAAAACTGGTTCCATTTCTGAATAATTAAGAGGTGTCATTCCTCTTTGACCCAACAGATCTTGCCATTTTCTCCAAGCTGTACTGTTCCACTGGCCACCAGCTGGAGGGCTTCAGGGAATATTCTATGTTCTGCTACTTTTACTCTTTCAGATAGAGTTGCAACAGTGTCACCTCTCTTCACTGGAACAGCTTCTTGTAAAATAATTTGTCCAGCATCTATATCTTCCTGGAAAAGCAAGCAAATGGTGTGTACATTATATTCTTGCCAATATATACTGCAGCTAAATTATAAAAATAATTTGGTAGAAAGAGAGAAACTCACAGCTACATAGTGTACAGTGCAGCCAGTGATTGTGACACCAGATTCCAGGACTTGCTCATGGGCATTTGAACCCTTGAAAGAAGGGAGCAAGGATGGATGGATGTTGAGCATTTTCCCTAGAAATGAACAAATGTAGAGTGTTAGAATTTTAAATCCCTCGTATCTATTAAAGGCCACAAACATGAGTCTACAGGACTTCTCTGGGATGGGTTTCATTCCAAAGACAGAGAGGTGAGGCAAAGAACACACTTAAGGGTTCTCCTTCAAGCAGGCTTTGTTGGCAGCAAGTACCTGAACTGTGTACAGCAGAAGCCATGCTGAGGGACTCTGAATAGGCACCCACAGGGGCTGAAAATTGGGTGGCCTAATTCAGAGTGCTAAGGAGCTCTGGTAGCGTAGTGGTTATGAATCGGGCTGCAAACCTCAGGGTCAGCAGTTCAAAACTACCAGCTGTTCCACAGGAGAAAGATGAGGCTTTCGGAAACCCTGTACAGGGTCGCTATGAGTCAGAACCAACTCCACGGCACATAACAACAATTCAGAGTGGTAGGGCCCTAGAAGAAAAATTAGCTTTGCTGGCAACATACCATTAGAGAGAGAAGGATTCTCTCACAGTGTCTACGTACTTAAATAGGCCTACCAGCCAGATCAGTTAGTTTTATGTTCCTTAGAGGACTTTCTGGGTGGCGCAAATGGTTAACGTGATTGGTTGCCAACTAAAAGGATGATGTTTTGAGTTTACCCAGAAGCACCTTGGAACAAAGTCCTGGCGATCTTTCCCAAAAAAACCAGCCAACAAAAATCATATGGAGCACAGTTCTACTCTGATACATACACAGTGGAACTGGGTTGGTTTGGTGTGAGCCTTCTGTAACTAAGACATGATCTATTTTGTATTACACCACAACAGCTTAACCATAGTCACTCAAGAGGGAAAATGCAATTAACTGTCTAAATGCATGCACAACAAAGGGAAATAGGATGCAGACAAAATTTTCTGGGTAAAAGGCACTAACATAACATAGAATTGTTTTCTATGATGACACCTTCCTTGCCATCGTCTACATTTCCTTAGTGGAAGAGGGGCTCTTCATTTGGGGATACAAGGAAACATTTTCTATAGCTTCTAAATAAGAGAGTCTCTTTACAGTATTTAATAAGATGAAATATTATCAATGTTGTTTGCAGTAGTGTAAAACAAACCTCTTACCTAAGTATACTGGAGAGTTATTAATGATAGCATATAAGCTTATAAATCAGTACTGGATCATTCTTTGGGCTTTATAAAACTAAGGATATTAAAATTTGATGTATATAAAATGTCAAAGTAAATACATCATTGCTGGGACTTTTTGGAAATTACCTACTTCACTGTCAGTTTATTTTTCTATGTGAAAAATAAATGCTTAAACCATTTTTGCTTACCATTCCATTTTCTGACAAAAGGGCCAGATAAAATTCTCATGAATCCTGCAAGACAGACTATGTCTATGGAGAACTCTTCAAGGACTTGGTCAACTGCATTGTCAAACTCGACACGACTTTTATATAACTTATGATTTATTACCTGTAATAGCAAAGATATACACAGTGAATCACCACAGATAGATCAATTCTCACTGTATATACTTCTAAAATTACACCAAATACAAAAATTATGATGAAAAATGAAGAACAAGAGTCCCACACACCAGTGCTCTGTGAAGCCTGATTATGAAGTTAGATCCAGCCCACAGGAAAGAAAGACAAATTTCAAAGTGACTTACTCTGGAGGGAATACCCGCATGCTCTGCTTTATCTAACCCAGTCACTGCCGCTTTGTTGGAGATAACAACAACAATGTGTGCAGAGCTGTTTGGTTTCCGAGTACCATCGATGAGTGCTTGGAGGTTTGATCCTGAAAAGACAAACATGCCATTTTGAATAGAGAATGGCCCAAATTCCTGAATACATTTCTTAGACAAGAGTGGCAAAATAGAAGGATTTGAAATTTCCTTCTTCTCAGGATAACTGATAGTTTGTGAAAAACATGGGCACTCCTGGCTCTGCAAAACAACAAGATAGGATCTAGCCTGATTTTAATGCTGAAGAGGAATGTATTTAAAAAATTTAAGCAAGGAAACTGACCCTCTCAAGAATAAACTACTGTGGCCCTTAAAATAGTTCCCATGCTTTAACATCAACTTTGGCCCAACATGTTTTGGAGAATGGACTAGTAAGCAATTACATTTCTTGGAATGTACCCTAAATAAATAATCAGATATGTACTTAACGACTATCTTATGATGTATTTATTTATAAGACAATCCACAGCAATGTTATTTACATTAGTGGAAGAAAACCAAAATTATGCTGAGAGAAAACAACGCTTTTATTACTACTATTAAAATGTTAAAAATCCTCTACCTCTTGAGGATTTTTCAATTACAAAAGGATGACAATCATGATTCTTCCCTGTCTGTTTCTGCTGAGGGCATATTTATAGTTGTACAGTTTAAGAGGAGACCCATCTCACCTGTTCCAGATATTAAGACAGCTACTCTTGCCCTTCTTGGCTGAACACAGAAATGATTTTCCATGGAGCCATTCTCCAACACTGACGCATTTCTTTGCATGCTTTCAATCAGATGATTGACTTTCACACGAGGGGAATCTTCATGTTAAATACAATCATAAGTAAGTAAACAACATTTGTGAACTCATAAATAATGGAAAGAAAAACATTTTATACAAACTTTAGAATATCATATTTTATTCTGAAATAAGATATGCAAGACTAAAACCACTAAAAGGCTTGAACCACTTGATACTACTCATTCGTAAGAACTCTCTGAAGGTGAACACATATGCATCACCTACTTCAATTAAGAGCTACACAGCACTCCACCCTATTCAAGCACTCTAAACATACTGTAAAGGGGGCAATGGAGTCCTGGTATGGCGCTGTAGGATCAAGTTCTGTATGCCAACCACATGCTTTGTGGTTCAAATCCAGCACTTGCTACTTAGAAACCCGATACAGGGTCGCTATGAGTCAAAATTGACTTTATGGCATTTAACAGCTGAGAGAGATCTGTTTCTTATTGCGTATCAACCAAAGGATGTGTAGATCAAATATCTTTCAGGCATTTGTAGAATCTGCTAGTAAAGGAAAGAAGTGCAGATATACAAAGCTAAGAGGCACTGACATCCTTTGTAGCTAATCTGATCTTCTGACACTTTCTAGCAATGGTCCTGATTAATACAGTGTTTGTCAGGGTGCTTGACTAAACTGAGAAGAGTAATAGAGGGAGAGCCAAAATAAGAGTGTGCGATTATGCTAGTCACCACAACGGACAACTGAGGCTCCATTTCACTGAGATGCTCCAAGGAGCTGTGCAGGCTACACCTCAGAAATGCTCTCATCTTCTGTCCCTAAACTGGTTATTTACTCACCAGCTCTCACTCCTCTTATCGTTAACCTACGGGATATAGCTCCTTGCCTTTCCGAGTTGTGCAAACCTGAATGCTACACAGAGTTGCCAACAAGGTCTAGAGACTGAAATTAAGATATGCAGGAAAATCAAGGTGGATGCTGTCACATCACAAATGTGTAAACATGGTTGCTATAGCAATGCTGGAATGAAAGAAAGTTTGTGAGAAAGGAAATGGACATATTTAAGTTTAGATACTTAAAAACAAATAAGTAAGCAATGATTACCTGCAGGACATGTAACCACACTGCCAATCACCCAGGCCTCTTCTTTGTGTTGCTCAATATCCCTCAGAACCTGCTCCGTCAGATCTTTGGGTACCACAAGGGCAGCCCCGATGCCACAGTTAAATGTTTTGGCCATCTCTTCTTCAGAGAGATGCCCTTCCTGTTGCAACCATGAGAAAACTCTGGGGATCCTCCAGGTACGTGCATCTGACAACAGGCAAGAGTTATCTGATTAACAACCATCTCACAGAATATATAAAATTACCCACATATACAAAGCTATACAACCTATAATGAGGCACTGCTATTACGGAATAGAATAATTGGACTTCCAGAAGCCTTCTTTCATTGGATCTATGTGTAACTTGGGGAGTGCACTGGATTGTAAACTACAAGGGCCATGGTTCGAGCCTACCAGCTGCTCCAGAGAAAGATGAGGATTTCTGCTTCTGCAGAAATTTAGGGTTTTCATTAACTGACTTTCTGATAGTAGACAGTCAATTCAAGGTCGTTCTACCCAGCCTGCTTCTAGCTTTGCTGATACCTGTTCAGTACCAAAGGGATGGACAGGAGGTACCTGCCCAGAAAGTATACTGGCCAGGAATGAAAGCTGGATCTCCTGCATGAAAGGGGAGAACTCTACTGCTGAAATACTAATGCCCTCATGATGCAAGATTAGGCAACTTATATACGGACTTAGAAGAAATGTATATCTATCCTATCTAAAGGGTTTAAGATCAATACTTTGTTTCTTTGATGGCACTTAACAATAATAACATATCCTCTTATCACCACACTTAACAATTGCTTTTTGAGTTATTGAAAGACATCGGTCTCCTTCTGGTCTGCATGTGACATAGCTGACCTGTTTCATCTTGAAATCCTTCCTTGGGTTTAATGATGACACTTTCACACAGTTTTTTACCCCTGCTGACTGTTGCTTTCAGCAGTCCTACAACTCAAGCCACCACTCGTCTGTCTATGTCATGCTGTGGTGGCTTGAGTTGCTGTGATTCTGAGGGCTATGCCACCGGTATTTTAAATAACCAGCAGGGTCACCCACGGTGGACAGGTTTCAGATGAGCTTCCAGACAAAGACAGACTAGAAAGAAAGAGTGACGAACTACTTCCAAATCGCCAGTCACTGAAAACCTCATGAATAGCAGAGAAACACTCAGATACAGGGCCGGAAGGTGAGCACCTCAGGTAAAAATGCGACTGGAGAAGAGATGCCTCCTCAAAGTAGACTTGACCATAACATGAATAGAGTTAAGCTCGTGGGAGAAAAGCCCACAGAACCCTCATTTGCTGATGTGCCACAACTCAAAATGAAGAGAAACAGCTGTAAACATTCACTGAAAATCGGAACATGGAACGTATGAAGTATGAATCTGGGAAAATTGGAAATTGTCAAAAATGAAATGGAACGCACCAACATAGATATCTTAGACATAAGGAGCTCTGGTAGTGTAGTGGTTACGAATCGGGCTGCAAACCTTAAGGTCAGCAGTTCAAAACTAACAGCTGCTCGCTCTGTGGGAGAAAGATGAGACTTTCTGCTCCCGTAAAGACTTACAGCCTTGGAAACCCTGTACAGGGTCGCTATGCGTTGGAACCGACTTGATGGCACATAACAATAACAATAACTCTGGTAGCGTAGTGGTTACGAATCGGGCTGCGAACCTTAAGGTCAGCGGTTCGAAACTACCAGCTGC